TTATTTTTAAAAGAAAAAAAGTCCCTTTTTAATTTTCAGTTTCTAAAATATTTGATGTCGGTGTACGTCGCATTTAACCAAAACCTCTTTCAATTTAGAATCACTTACATCTCTTCAATCTTTAGAATATTTCTGGAACTACTATCCCATAGGTATTCTTTTCTTTGAATAAATTTAATGAAATTGTCGTTAACTAATATTTTTGAAACGTTTTTAATATAAATTTTCAAAAATTTTATAAAAAATAATTTAATTAACTACAAAAAAAATTTTAAAATACTAAAATTTGCTGGCCTGAATAAACAGCTGAACAGTGCACATAACGACAAAAATTTATTTTCATTTTATTTATTTTTGTCAAAAAGGTTTGATAAGAATTAGACAAGACTTTACTCTTGTCGATTTTGCTCGATTTGATTGGGCGTTTATACACATCAAATTTTCATCAAATTTCCATCCAATCAAATGAAATCGTCAAACTTTCTTTAATGTGTACACGCCACCTTAGGTATATTAAAGCCTTGCTTTGAGGAACGCCATTTGCGGAAAATTTTGGCTATTAATGTCATGCTTTCGTGTTTGCAACTTAAGTAAAATTTGGTTGAATTCGCATTTGCAGGTCTAACAAAGATCTGCTAAGACAGCACGTTGTTGCAGTTTGCTGCAAAAAGCATTCCTTTTTACTGGTATTTTGTTTTAACATAAAACATTTTTCTGCTTTTATATTCATAACCTTCATTATCAAGGAATTTGTTATTGGGAGAGTAGAGGGACATCAATGAGATCACAAGGTTTTTTTAATTACAGTGCTGCTGTAGCAGTTCTATTGCAGTGCAGTTTTAATTAATAAGATCTCTCACAATCAGAATTGCACGAATGATCAGCCGTTTATGTCCGACTAGTTGACAAATGCCGAGAATAATAGCAGCACAAATAAACAAGCCAAGAGTGACAATATTAACAGGTCACTCCTGTCAATATTCTTGGGATTGCTGATTACCCCAAGTTATGCAAATTGCTGAACGCCGTCATTTTCAACTATAAGATAATAATGTACTAGGTAATAATGTATTTGGTGACTAATGAGTAATAACTAATGGTAGTAGTTTGGTAACTAATGGGTAATAATGTATTTAAAGTTAACACTGAAAGTCCTTTCAGTTATCGCACTCTACTTAAGAAACTAGAAGAAGACAAAATCCAATGTTTTTCATACGAAGATAAGAATGATAGATGAAAGTTATGGCCAGTGATCTTAAGATCACTGGTATCTAAAACAACAAGGTCTTTAAGTTAAAGGTACCACCAACATTATGAAAAAAAAAGGTTGGAAAATGAAAGGGGAGAAATTTTCCTTGTTAATGCTAACGTTCAAAAAAAAACAGGTCACTCGAAAAATTTATGATATTAAATGTATTCTCAGTCTAAGAGTACGAGTAGAAATCAGTAAGGAAAAAGATATAGGCCAACGTGTTTTCAAGAGTTTAATCATCCCAAATCTTATTGTAAAAAGAAATCCATATCCAGTGTGGTGCAAATCACCATATCTCTGCATGAAACAAAGGCCGCGTACTTTTGGGGATGTGAGATTGCTAAAGCTCATTCTGAGTACCATCGGGGATGTGAAGAAACTTGGTCTTAAGTTCAAAACATAAATCATTAGTTCCTTCCAAGATTCCTCCAATGCATCAAGTCCAACCAATGATCGCCATTGTGTTTTTAACACCTCAAATTGCTGAGCAAAAAGCAGCTATCAAACCTTCAGATAAAAAAACTTTCGCTAAAGTGGCCGCGAAACCTACAACAGACGAAATTTTAGAATTGATATTCAGAAAACATGACGATCAAACAGTCCCTGAAAGACAACTTAATAATAGATTAGATAAACTATAAAATAAAATAAACTCGACATTAAATAAAAGATGACTCAAACTCTGATGGTCCTCTGTAACATATCCAAGAACTTGAACTGTTTCTTAAAAGAGAAAAAATTGACGCTAATTGTTTGGTTACAGAAACTCGTTTTACTAAGTAAACCAACCTAGAAATTTATGGTTGTAAGTGATATAACGCAGTTTACCCAGATATCAAAACCAAAGCCGGCTCATCAAAGCTTCATTTATAATTTATATTAAGAATAAGAATTTGATGATTTCCTCCATTTGCTCTCCCCAAGATATAACTTAAAAATAGAGAACTACAAATAATGCTGGTCTACAAGGGCAAGGGTTTTCTGATCGGCGGCGATTTTAACGCTAAAAATAATTTTTAAGGTTAGAGACTTGCTACTCCCAAAGGTAGAGCCCTATATGAAGCAGCAGCTGGAATGGGCTGTGACTTTTATTTCACGGGAAACGCGACGTACTGGCCGACAGATAAAAACAGAATTCCATACCTTCTGGATTTCTTCATAAGTAGAGGAGTCTCTGAAACTTATATACATGTAAGCGAAAGTTACGATCTGAGTTCTGACCATTCTCCAGTTATCTTGACGATCTCCGAAACATATGCCTAAATTCTCATAGCAAATATGTCCAAATTAACAAACAAAACAACCAAATTTTCTCAAGGGCATAGTTGAAAACAACACAATTCTAAATCGTACCTCCAAGAAATATGTTTAACTTGAAGATGAGCTATTTATCACTAACGTGCAACATATATGTATTTATCACTAACGCGCAAAACGCTGTTTAGGAAGAACGATGGTTCTATTACTGACAATGCCGAGGATACCGAAATGCTTTTCCTTCGGACGCACTTTCCGGAATTCTAATTAATACAAGCAGATTTCCACAGGAGCTGCGAGTTCAACTCGAAGAGCGGACGAGTGCCGAAGAGCTGGGTTAGGTGCTTGTCTGGAAGAATCTTTGACAGGCAGAGAGTTAGGTGGGCTGTGGGGTCTTTCAAACCCCTACAATTCTCCGAGTGGAGATAGAATCTCTCCCGCCATGTTGCAGGAGAGCTTAGGAGACCCGGTTCCCCTCCTCCGTATAAGGCTATGCGGGAAGCCAAGCCCCAGTGACCTCAGGGGTAACCTAAGCATTATTAGGAAGATCAACAGCATACACGACATGGAATTGCCCTTTGGATCCGTTCCGAGGAAGAGGAACATGGTAAGGCCTTACGTTGTCGATCTACGTGAAAAGCGGATCTGGGACGATTGGGGCTGCAACTTGGCCCTAAGGCCGTGGTCTCCATCATTAGTTTTCTCCTTCTCCATCATTAGTATTCTGCTCCATCATTAGTTTTGCATCCTTCTATACAGAAGGATGCAAAACTAATGATGGAGCAGAATATTTGTTGTCAGACAGTAGGGCCATTCTTGGGACCCTTTTGCTATAAAAAGATTACTTTTCTTAGTCAATGCATCTCGTTGACAAAGTTGTCAGTCTCCCTTTTGCCGGCTATTAAAACTATTTGAAAGGGTCTTATCAAATCGTCTGAAGTTATTAAAAGCAGAAATATGATTCCTGATTTCCAGTTTGGATTCCACTATCGCCCATTGGAGAATACAGAGTATTGCTCTACAAACTTTTTAAACTTTGCCCAAAAATTCGATAGGTTTTGGCAAAAGGGTCTGAACTTTAAAATAAAAGAAAATCTGTCGGAGCTGTTTCCTAGACAAATCTTATCTGGCAGACAGATTGTTCAAGGTCAAATTTGAGGAGGAGTACTCAAGCTTCAAAAATTGGGTGCTGTTCTATCAAGGAAGTGTCCTAGGACAAAGGGAAGAGACTGGCAACTGGTAGAACTGTTGTAGAAGCTTCATGTAAGTTACAATAATCTTTAAACAAAGTATCTACTTGGACCAAAAATACAAATTTCAGCTTAATGAATTTAAGTTCATGTAAACTACACAAATAAAAAAGGCGAGTCCATTACAGCTCTATTTAACGGTTTAGAAATTCCGTATGCCAACGAAGTAAAGTACCTTGATACCTTAACCAATGCGAAACTGAAATATAAAGAGCACGTTAAAAAAAAAGAAGACTGGCCTGAATATCAAATATAAAAAAATGTTTTGACTGTTGGGAAGATACTTCGAGCTCAATATTCACAAAAAACTTTTGCTCTACAACCGGGTTCTCAATCTGTATGGACTTACAGTATTCAGCTTTGGAGCTGTGCAAAAGATAGCAATATTAAAGTTATTGCTAATGCTCTATGATACGTAAGTAACTATACTCTGCATCGAAACCTAAATGTTAAAACAGTCAAAGAGGAAATAAAAAAACATACAATCAATCATCAATTAAGAGTACTCCAGCATGACAATTCCAAGATTCTGCAACTTTTGGATATTGGTCAAATGCCAAGACGATTTAAACGTATGAGACTCCTTGAACTAACCAGCTAAACAAAGCAACATTTGTAAGAGGGAACTCGTCAATGGATGATGCATTCATAAACCTTATTTCAACCCAGAAAAATTGCTTCTTTCATAGTTGCAATAAAATAAAAATAAAATAAAACAAAATTACAGCGTGGAGACAAATTTCCCAAAATTGAAAACAAATCTTTTTAGATTATTAACTTAAATATGTATATTTTATAAAACTTTAAAAACATAGATATATGTATAAAAAATAAAAAGTATTTCCAATATAGTAATTTCATAATTTAAAATCTCTTTGAAATCAATACTTGTCTTTGTAATTTTTTCAGCATAGTCTTCTACAGCTGATATGTGTTCCTTGCTTATAAATATGACATTTTTTACAAAATTATATAGTAAGCTTGGAATAAACAAAAAGAATTTTCAAGACCTATAATGTTTTTCGTCATAAACTCATAATTAATATATACATATGTACATATACATGTCTAACTAACAATATTCAATCTTACAAAAACGATAGCACGTAAAACAAAAATTTCTTAATAAAATTCTAATGAACCGCAAAAACTGCAAACAATTTGAAAAGCGTTTAAACTTTTTGACTGTTATACATACTTATATTTTACTTAACGAGTTTTGTTTTGTTTGCGATTATTACCTGATTTGACCAATCCCCTGTAGGAATGGTTGCTTTGTAAAATTTTGAGCTTGTTTTATTAAATATTGGTAAAAGTTCATTTGCTTCATCAGATAAAGCCTAAAATTTTTTTTTATTTAAGTTTTTAATATTCTTATACAATGTAGTACATTGTCAACAAATTACCTTTAAATAAATAACAGCATCAGTTCCAAATCCTTCAGTTGACAATAAAATCAAATCACCATGTAAATAACGGGCATATAATCGTGATATTGGTAATCCATATCCATAACCTGCTAGTGGAACTGTATAATAATCAGATTTTGAAGGTTGAGGAGCTGTACTATACATATATTTAAATAAATGATCTACCGAGGATCGTGGTATTCCACCGCCTTCATCTGACATCTATATAAGAAAATTGAAAATGAATTATGTTTTATTTAATCTTGTCAATGGCAAAATATTCTTAAATTTAAATAAAATTTTTCTTCCAAACTTATTTATATGAACGTTAACCTTTATACAAATATCTTCATGGCCTCTAGAGATCAAAACTCTCACAGGAGGTAATTGATCTGATTTATCATGATCATGATGTTCTACAACAGCTCTCATTGAATTTTTAAATAATTCAAATAAAATGTGATACAAATGCGATGGTACGTAACAAGTGTTAATTGGTAGTAAATTATCAATTTCATTGTGTTCTGTAACTTTTAACTCAGGGCTGCATAAATAATATTGGTCACATAAAAATCGAGAATTTTCATATGCATCTCGAACTACCGCTGATATATCACAAGTTGGATCCAAGCATCCAATATGACGACCTTTATCTTCGTTCAGTTGTCCAAACAACATTGCTGAAGAAGTTTGACTAATAAATAATTAATTGTTTAAAAAAAATGGGTTCTTAATCTTACTGTGTTGATTAATCAACATCCTTATACTTATTCGAGACATATAGAGTCTATCTAAAAAATATTGTATTGAGGTTTCCATAGTAGCTTCTACACTGTCTCCATATGTTTCTTTCATCTCTAAAACACCTTGTGCCATTGTCTGCACAACATCCGAATGACGATTGCGAATCATTACTAAAGTATTACAAAAACTTAAAAAAACATATTTATTTATTTAAACGCTTATTGTAATATAATAATATAATACTTTTGCAAAATCTTGGGAGTCGGCTCTGACTTTTCAAATTGTATAATATCCTCAAAACTTTTGGCATACCACTGGCTAACTTGACTGCATGAATTCGTTGTTAAAAGCACTTCCGGCAAAAGAGCGATTTCTTTCATTATATTAGCTAAACGAACTGGCAATTCCTTTCTTAAAAATATAAATGATTTCTGTTCACATGCATTTCGACCTGAAAAAACAAAACGTCTTGTTTCAATATTAATAATAAAAATATAAGTATTGATAATTGCCAAATATCATAATTCTTCCACATATACTTCAGCTCTTTTTCTTTATGTATTTTATTCGTTTCATTTTCGAAAAATTATTGTATGTGCTGCTCACTAAGATACTTAAAATATCCAACGAAAATTCGCAACTTTATTAATTTTAAGATTGTGAGCGAGTCTTGCAGAGATCATTCTTGGAAAAATTTGTATAAGGGGGGGGGGGAATATACTCATTTTCTACATATAAATAAATGCTTATAACTTCCAACTCACATAACATAGAATTATCATTAGGACCTTATTTTACAGACGATTGATTATTCTTCATTTTTAGCACTTTTCCAAAAAAATTTTTGAAAAAAGTGCTTATTAGTTTCACTCTGTCCGTCCGTCCGTCCGTCCGTCCGTCTGTCCGTGTGTCTGTTTACAAAACTTCTACACCTTTGAAGATAGAAAGCTGAAATTTAATACGTACATAGATCTTCACTAGAAACTTATTTCCGTAGAACAAAATTTTTACCTATCTCCCCCCCTCTAGAAGTTATACCCCCCCAAAACCCTAAAAATGGCCTTTTTTAAATATTTGTTGCAATGAAACTATAAGCATTTTTGAAATTTTGCAAACGCAGAAAGGCAGTGGCTTGCTTCCCCTTGCGCGGTATACTATAGTTAAACTTTATAAAAACAAAATGGCCGTTCAAATTTACCGTTATCTAAAGTCCTTTTTTTTCAAATTTTTGATGTCGTTTTTCTTCTAGACCCCAGACTGTAGAAGCTTGAAATTTTAGGAGCTTTTAAATATTAATAAATAGTTCATTTTGTTAGAAGAAAATTTTTTTCCATCTCCACCCCCTCTCAAGTTATCACCTCTTGAAATTCGTAAAATTTGAATTTTTGACACCTTATATTTCCGAAACCGCAAGCTTTTCCAAATTTTTATAAACGCAAAAAGCTAACGGTAAATTCCGTGAAATTAAAAAATATAATTATTTTTCTTAACTCACACAATTAACCCTTAAAATCGAGCATTATGTTAACCCCTCTTTATATTAATTTTTGCTTTATTTCAAAGACTGCATATATGCGTCATCCTAAATATATGCAATCCTAGAAATAGTTTTGTATATGAATGAAAATAATTTTAATAGTGTGATAGCTATACATAGACTGTATTTAAAAGCAGAATTTTCACTTGTTGAAGGGAAAAGTGCTACAATACAAACCATTGGTTTGACCCAACTTTATTAGTCTTACATCTAATTTGATTCGAGATATGTACACCAAATACATTCATATTCAGATTTTTTGTTTTTTGTGAAATTTTTTTTACAAAACTCGATATTTGTCGAAATTTCTCGAAACTGTGGCTCAAATCAAATTAAATTTAAGACCAAAAATAAAAAACAATCAATCGAACAAACAACCTGTAAAACAAGCGCCCAGCGATAACTCTATGTTGTATAGTTTACAAGCATTTATTTAACTGCTGTGATTTAAATTAATTAAAAGTACAATGGAAAATTAGTAATAAAATTTTTACTTTTTTTCGTCTACGTAGTTAAACACGAGCAAAATTATTTTTACTTTTCACATAAGTGTAGAATTCTAATTACCGATCGTATTGAGGTATCGTAAGAAAATGTTACCAAAATAACAATGTGGTTCTGTAATGTAGGCAAAGCTACACAAATTCTGATCTGGTAATCACAAAGTTTATTTCTTTGAATGTTGCTCAAAATTACAAGAATTTCCTTTAGAAAAGTTTTAAGTTTTAAATTTTCCTTTTAAAATTTAAGAAAATCAGTGAGCCTTTAGGCTAATTTTTTGGATAATTGAAACTTCCATTTATAATATTAACCAACGACGACTAAAAACAACATTTTTTTTCTTGAAGGGTCTTCAATAGGAAAAATGTTACTTTTAATATTAAGGAGAATGAGGATATTAAGAATGTTTAGAAGAAACAAATTACTGTTTAATACGTAAACATTAATTTTAATAACTTAATTTATGTAAATGTAAAAACATTACTCTACATAGTCTAAATATTAGATTTTATGTTTTAATTGGAAAATTATTAATTTTATGTACTGATTTATCACATCTATAATATTTAATTTATAGGATAAAACCATTAGTTCAATAATTTTTTTTTTATTTAAAAAATATAACAACAATTTAAAAACATTAAGAATTTGAGAGTTTACAGAAAAGCTACCAAATTAGAGTTAGATAGAAATCTACCCGAATGGCAACCCTGCTGATCGTAAAAAAAAAATTTGTATATTGCTTCACTTTCGCAACCATATGTTTGCGATTTCTTTTTATATTTTGCCTTTATTTTGTTTTTGTTTTTTGATGTATAACAAGAATTAAAATCTGGTGCAGATTGCAACAAAGCTCTGAAAAATCTGAAAATTGTAAAATTTTTTATAAACTCATTGGAGGTTTGGTGTATTCATCGAACACTACTAGACGTGACATATCTTTTATAAAGACTGTTCTAAGTCGTTTTGTTACAAATACTAGTAGAGCGCATTTAATTGCAGTAAAAGGAACCCATCGATACTTGAAAAATATTATGCCTTATTCTATCACCTAAAAATACGATTGAAAAAAAATTGAGTATTTCTAGAAAATTATTTTCGGGATATGTTGTTGATGTCTATCGGCCCTATAATTTGAAAATCTAAGAAACAAAAATTATCACTATCAACAATGGTGGCACAACCTCAAGGCATAAAAAAAAGTCATCTATGCAAGAAAAGTACCAACAGAATTTAATTTGCCTTAGTATAACACTGTTACATCAAACCATTATGAAAATCAAAGCACAGTGCTCTTTCATCAAATGACAGCAATCTTCTTAAATCAAGATATATCGACATTCGACATCATTAACAATTTTTACCTATCTCCATCGTCTAATACTTATAGTTACCTAAAATCGTAAAAATGCCATTTTTGAACTATTGCAGCGAAACCATAAGTATTTTTCAACGCACGAAAGTTGTGGCTGGCTTCTTCTACCGCGGCATACCATATTTGAACTTTGAAAAAATAAAATGACTGTTAAAATTTACCGTTATTTAAAATCAGTTTTTTCCATTGCTCATGCTAAATGTATGCAATCTTTGAAATATATTCGTATATGAATAAAAGTAATTTTATAAATTTAGCATACAGATTGAAGTGGTTGAAGCTAAAAAAATGCCGTTACTGAAGCTGCAGAAGGAGTAATAGGAAAGAAAACTAAAAACACTAATGATTGATACGATCACGAATGTAAAACAGTCAATAAAACAAAGAACCAAACCCCTACAAAATACATTGAAAGACCTACTCGAAGTAATCTCTTACAATATCGAGAAAAAAAACCACAAAGCAAATACGCAATAAGGTTGAGGAAAGCTCGGTTCAATGAGCCGCAAAACAATTCCTTTCGTGTCTCCGCTGTTCTAATCAAGTAACATACATGAAACAAGGGGAACAGTTGTCGAGTTTTGCGCCTGGAAATATACTACAATATAGAGTTTCAGGGGAGCTAGACTAAATGAGTTGCCAAACAATTCTCTTTTTGCGCTAATTAATTAGAGATACATTCTTAAAATTAAAAGGCTCGGTTCGTTGAGCTTCACAACAACTTGGAATTTCATTTGACATTATCGAATGTTGTGCCCAGAAATATACTTCAATGTGGAGAATAAAAAATTTTCTCATAAGCTTAATAGGCCTGTTACACGCAGCGCAAAAGCGATAACGTTCGTTTCTGTATAATTTATTCTTAATATTATTGTTTTGTTAATCATTTTCTGCAAAATGAGATATTCAGCAAAGAAATATAATTCGTGCATGAATCATATTACCGCATATGAAATAAAGTAACACTCTAAAAACTAACACTTTTTTTTGTTTGGTTTTACTCATAAACCTAAGTAGCCAAAAAAGTTTTTACGCATTTATATTATGTTTCAATAGAAAAATAATGTATATGTAAATGTGTACATATGCGTATAATAACTAGGATTCAATTCGTTTACAGCCGCGGTGATCGCTCGGAAACCGAAGCCTGTTATCATATCTATGGAGCTAATTGATAACTAAAAGATGGAGGTATGTTAACTAAAAGCGTACCTTTTAAATACTCCTCCCTAGACAATACCTTGCGGTCATATGTTCGTATCAGATTATTTATTGATGTAAATCAACATAATGCTTGCAAAAAATATTATAACTTATTATGTTAGTTAATATGTTATGTTCACGTAGAGCCTAATGTGTATATTACCTCTGTATGTTTAGCTTCATCTCAATATAAATTTATTGTTGCAAGCCATTACTAAATTTGTGATACTAAACATGTGATTCATGCACATTGTACTGGTACCAGAGCCAACCGATAATGCATAGAGACGTAAATTTTGTATTTTTGTTTTGAAACTTCAATTCATGTTCATTTCAAATCATTACTTATTGATTTACTTTAATGAGCACTGCGGGAATATGGATGTAATTTTTTATATTTTGCGAGCCAACGTCTAAGTGTTAATTTTCTTTCCTTTATTAAATGAATTACTAATGTACATGCATTTATATTTAAACACGTTGAATGTCAATGTATTACCAGTGAGCAAATCTAAAATGCCAAAAATGGTGAACATAAGAAAACTTGTATGTGTTGAATGGTTGCTGAACATACAAATAACTGACGCAACTATAAGTAACGCAGAGATAAATTGTATTTCTCCAGAAAAAAAGGCTAAAATTTTATATATATAGCTCTTTTACTTATATATACATATACTTACTTTCTCTAAATTGTAGGATTAGCCCTGTGATATAGGGTCTTAAAGTAAGTCACCACAGTTGAGCACAGACTCTACGAAGTCTTTTAGAACTGTTTTCAAAAATATTTGAAATGAATTCGATTCGCACTAGGGGCTTCTAGTAACAATTATAG